AAGGATATCAAGTCTCTACTAAAATGGATATAAAAACATAATATTATGAGAAACTTTCATTGTCATGGCCCACAGGCATGTGCAGACATAAAGCATGTTTTTCAAATGTACATAGCAACTAGGAAAAGAAAGACAAAAACTATGACACTGTAAAAACCATCCTACTTTAGACTTGAATGATTCTCCTCGAGATAATCCTGACAATAGCTACAAGCAGGGCTGGTTAAACCCATTTTAACAAGTTGGAAAACAAGTAAATAAATAACTTCTCTGTCACAGAAACCCTGAAGATGTTAGATCTGGAGACACTGCATTCAGCATTATTGTAACTCCATGCCAATGTTCATTTTGAGACAATATTTAATTTGAAAGTTTATTGGCCGATACCAGTGACTTAAGGATGTTATTGTGAATGCAAAATAAAATGTACTTTTTAGAACAGTCTGAGTTTTAAAAAAATTAACTGAACACGACGTGGGATTCCAGCAAAAAAGTGCTTAAGCCGCTGCATAGAACAATATGATTGCTGACATATGTGAGCAATATTCTGCATGCTATATCATACAATGGCAGCTGTTGTGCAAGCATTATTGGACAATTGCCTTTACATTTGGGCTCAACATGCTATGACATTGTAAGCCACTGCTTTCAATGATTGAGGAATGTCTTGTCATGCATCAACGACATCAGCTCTTTTCACACTGAGCACGAGAGGACTTCATGTACTGAGCACTCAGGTTTCAACTTGGTTGAAGGACTGACAACAATGAGATCAGGTTTTCTCTGATCCTGTAATCTGGCCAGTCCACAACTCTGAACAACATGACACAGCATTGCAGACACTCGCCCAAAACTCAAGCTCACCACTAAACTGCTGACCCGCTGGTAAATAAGCAAACCAATTCATAGATAGCATGTGTGCCCAGTAGGCGCACAAATCACACTGATTTTAATTTGATTGATACGGACAGATGAAAATCTAACATGAAGAAATACAAAGCGCTGTCCAGTAATTCCTAAAAAGAACACTTTCATAATATTTTCACAAATCAGCACACTGCAATGGTATACGAGTGTGGGATCATCTCTTATTTTATCTGACATTTTGTAACAAGGACATTTTCAGGAATAAAACAAACAGGGTTGCATAACTCAAATTTGCTGACGTTTTGAGTTTTTAAACATAACGGTAACTACACAGCAGCTGCAACATGTTTAACACTGTACTATTTAAATAAAAGCTACCAGTTGCGGCTTTTATTAAATTTATGACCTGATCAATACAGGATTTTTTTGGGAGATACCAATATATAATAAAACATTTTTTTAAATTCTAACAATACATCAACCAATATCCCTTTTTTTTTTTTTTTTTTGCATAAACACACATAACAAACACACAATTCAATAAGGATTGTCTAAACTTGGTTATCAAACAATTGTAACCAACATGTGTAGTCGGCAGCACCTTTTTTTTTTTTTTGTTTTGTTACAGCTGTAAAACTTTGTTAGCGCTTTCTGGTTGAAATATTATGCAATAGCGACACGCAAGTGTCACTGTATTAGGAACAACTTTCTAAAACTTTGCCTCAGCTTTCAAAGCTGATTTTAAAACCGTTTAAAATTCTTTTTATAAGAAAAAATGCAACAAAATGGTATGCATCCTTAACTATCAAGACACCCTGTTACAAACACTTTTATTAGTAGGGTTAGAACAAATAAAGTTGTATAAATTTTAGCTGCTGCACAAAAACTGACATGATCATTCCGGAAAAACAAGCACCAAACTGAGGCAATGGCCACAAACAGCTTATACTGGGTCTCCTGTATTTCACGATGCTATATCCCTTTGCTACTACTGTGCTTAGTTACCTCCCAGCGGGATCAATTAGCAGCTCAACCTGAGTACACAACCTACTTTTGTCTCAAGTTTACAATGGTGTGAGTAAGCAACAAGACTCGCTTGACTACACACAAAAATACAGGGAATTATTTTAATGATGACTAATGAATTGAGTAATCACAGTTTTTCTTGTTCCCATCCCAGAGGTGGAAATGCAGTTTTTTTTTAATTGAACAAGTGTATTTTTTATGATCATACCTCAAATATTACCCAAAGGCATTATTTCCTTTGGCCTATGAAACGGTACACCTAAATAACAGTAAACGTGTTTTTGAATAGCCTCACCTGTTTCAAATACCTATGCAACAGCAGATTAAATCATTAATCTCATAAACTCACTGTTGCGCAACTCATATCTGTCAAATGTTGTCTAAGTGTGAGGCTACTGTCTGCCAACACATGGTGTATTGAAAATCATGTGAGCCTCTGCTTAACCACCAGTTAATTCATATGAATGAAGCTTTAGCAGCAGTTTGTTGCTGCGGGTATCAATGACCATTAAACCAGCCGCAGTTTACTGGAGGTCATCCTGACTTCAGCTCTTCTGCTCTGAACAAGCAATTTATGTAACAGTCCAGATGATGGCAGCGGGTTTCAGTAAAGGTGTGTGAACTTTAAGATTCGCCAAGTTCAACTTGTCTCCTTTCTGAATACTTTCTTCTCCCCTGCTTCCAAAACACTACCGGCGGTCAGCTAAGGCGAGGAAAGTGATTTTCAGTGGGACTGGGCCCTGACTATTCCCTGGACCGTGACACACCGGCTGGAAACACGATAATGTACTAAATACTGTTTAATTTAGAGGCACTACAGTTAAATATGCAACACAATGTGCACAAATGTTATTAACTCTACCTTTAAAGTACACGTGCTGATGAAACGAGATAAGTTAGCCTTGCGTAACACTTGAGTAAGGACTTGTCTAAAGCTAATGTTTGTTTAAAAGCGTCGTACTTTCGCTGTATTTCAAGCTCCTAGCTTCAATGTGAGCGTGTTATCGCTGAAAATTGATCCTCGCAGACTGCCACAGACTACAGCTCGATGTAAAACGTTTGAAACTTTGAGTTTGGAGTGCAGCTTACCTTCTCCTCTCCTCTTTGTGTCAGACTCACACTGCGCTCTATGCGGAAGGAAACTTTACGCCATGAAGGGCCGTACCAACTCCGTCCAGGCAGTGGGGGAGGACTCTTCCATTTTATCTGCCAAATACACCTCCTGCAGTTGCGTTTTCATTTTCTGAGAAGTTGCAGACGAGTCGTTTCAAATAGAGTCTTTGACTCATATGGACCGTGAAAAAAAAGCGTCTTTAATTATTTTAGTTAGGTTTTTATTTGGGCCGGTCTACAACAGCACTGCGCACGTGTTCTCCGCTATAATAAATAACTGTGGAGGTGCAGGCGGGAGGCAAAGGTCATGGTTATGTAATGCATCCAGCAGAACAAGCTCCATGTATCTTTGACACAGTGAAAGGGAGATTTATCAAACGTGTCCTCCTCAGTGCTAAGTAGTGTTAATGTTCCAGTGCCAAGGACACAAGTTTCAACAGCCATGTTTGGCTGTATTTAGACTCTTTAATAAAATGAGGAATACAAAAATGTTAATGGGGAAAATATTCACAGTAAGTTAAAAGTCTTGAAATTCAGAAGCACTCATAAACTCTTGTCAGCACTGGTAGAAAGTACTGTAATACATTTACTCAGGTGCTGTACTGAGGTAAACTTTTGAAGTAAACTAGAGATAAAAACCAAGACCTTTATCCACTGTTTTGCTCTTCCGGCTGAAACTTGCTGGTGTCAGCCATATGATATTAAAGGCCAGTATTTGCAATCAACGTGGCCTTGACTCCACCTTTGTCCACTGAGTACGATAAAAGAATGTTTTTATGGTTAGGTCACTGAGCAAATAAAGAAACACCCCAGACTTCTGGGAAATAAATGCTTGACTACTCACAATTTTCTTTAGCTATTTTCATGCTAAATATTCGATTTATAGATGAACTGTACAAGTTTTCCCACCACTTATCAATGTAAATGATATGATCCTCCTTTCTATATCAATACAGGAGAGTATATAGTATCAACTGGATTTGTACTAGATACAAAATATCACATCATCACATATATGTGTGAATTATTGTCTTCGTTTTTAGTTTTGGTTCAGTTTTTATTAAGTTATTACTTTTTAAAATATATATAAATAGTTGTTTTCTAACACATTTCTCTGTGTTGTTTTTGTTCAGTTTTTCAACAATTTCACTTAAGAATTAAGAACTGACAATAGCGTACAGCAATACGACACTGACAGGGGCCTATTAATAAGTGATTTTGCTATTGACAATTATATATTATTGCTAATACTTGTGTTTTTGAAAAGTAAACATTTAAATGCAAGACTTTGACTTCTAAGAGTTCTTTCATAGCATGATATTACTAATTGTACTCAAGTAAATCACATAAATACATCGTCGACCCTGCCTGTCAGTGATTTGTTGAACATTTGATATTTCTGATTCAAATGTTGTTGTAATAGTGGAATTGAAGTTCATGTTGACGATATTCTCTTTGTGGTATACTTCACTAGAGTTAAAATAAAAACACAAAATGAAAATACGTGAGTAAATTTACTAAGGTACAGTCCCACACAGACTACAATTTCAGTTTACATTGCATTTCATATTATTATCTCAATACACATAGAAAAACAATAGTCTGTGTAGCATGTGATGTGATCAAATCAGCCGTACTTTATATTCCCATATCACACTTCAACTCAAAATACCAGACCAATAAATGATTGAAATTAAATTAATGTGGACACATGTATGCATGAGCATATTTACTAAAAAGAGACAGGTTCTCAGAGACTAGTTTGTAAAATTCGAAACTTTATTGAAGGATGATTTTATTGGTGCACTGTTTGTATTTTCTTATCAGAGTAAATTTCTTTATTAAAAACATAAAAAGATGGAGGTACTGTAGATCACAATTTAACCCTGAATGGTATTTGATTACACATTTTTAAATTATCTATCTATACATGCTTTTTTTTTTTTTTTCAATAATAGCCTGCAGACTTATAACAAAATCAGCATATTAATGTAGTAAACGTGACTGAAGTTGATGGTGACATGAGCTTTCATTTGGGGAGGAGCACAGGAGGGGCCTTTTCATAGCCATGATATTTCCTGATTTTTAAATGTATCACAGGCTCTTTCGTTTCTGATTCCTGGTCTTAAGCTTCTGACGAACGACTGCGACGGTGGTGAAGAAGTTTCCCATGAACAGAATGAGGAAGCAGATGCCACACATCATGACCTGCAATCACATGGTACACAGAGAGCAATACATGAGTCAGCAAAAAATGAGGCTACGTAGCTCCAAAGTGCTAATATTTTCTTGATATATGGAGAGGCTCGAGTGGGGGTGAAGTTCTCAAAAATAATGTAAAGTTACTTTCAAAATGTGAATTAATTCTAGTGGTGCCTTAAAGTTTGCGATCTCTGTAGAATTTTTTTATTTTTGTGCATAAATTTTACCTAAAACATTTTGATGTAAGTCCTACAGGTAGATAAAGAGAATCCAGTTAAACAAAGTAGACAAAATGAAAGAATTAGGGCTGCTTGTTTATTTATTCATTAGGGAAAATGATTAAATATTGCATTGTTGTGAGTGGTAAAAATGTATTTGCAGTAAATTTTAGGGTGAAATTATGATGGCAATCAGGTGTGAGTGGGCAAGGTGTTAGATTTAAGAAACACTGAAATCTTTTCTTCACAGCACGTTTGTGGAAGTGTATCATGGCTCAAACAAATGAAATTTTTAAAGAACCTCATAAAAATAGTTCTTGATGCTCATCGGACTGGAAAACTTTACAAAACCATCTGTAAAGACTCCAACAGTCCACATGCTGACAGATTGTGCACTTATGGAGTAAAATTCCAGACCACTGTTACCTTCCCCAGGAGAAGTCAATCAACAACGTTTACTCCAAGAGCAAAGCATATAATAGTCCACGAGGTCATAAAGGAAACCAGAGTAACGTCTAAGCAACTAAAGCCTCTCCTGCATTGGCTGATGCTAATGTTCACGAGTCCACCATCATGAGAACACTGAAAAACAATAGTGCGTACTGCAGGGCTGCAAGGAGAAACCATTGGTTTCCACAAAGAAGACTGCTGCCTGTCTTCAGTTTGATAAAGATCATGTGGATACACGGAAAGCCTGTTGAAAAAATCTTTTGAGGCTGAATGAGACTAAAATTGAACTTTTTGTTTCAAGTTAGAAACAATATGTTCAGTGATGGATTGCATCAGATTCCAGCATAAGAACCTTATCCCATCTATGAAACATGGTGGTGGTAGCATCATCATGATGTCAGTGAATTCTGAGGAAAAATGTCAAGACATGCATCTGTGAAGTGAATCTCAGGAGAAAGTGAGTCATGCAACAAGAGAATAACTCATAAACACACTAGTCAGTCTACCAAAGAGGAATAAAGTTAAAGTTTTGGAATGGCCAAGTCAAAATCCTGATCTTCTTCCAACTGAAATATTGCGGAAGGAGCTGCAGTGAGCACTTCATATGAGAAAAACCCCACCAGCATCCCAGAGTCATACCAGATCCTGAAAGCAAGGGTTCGCATACTTTTGATAACCACAGATACGTAATATTGGATCATTTTGCCCCAAAAATAAATGACAGAGCATAACATTTTTTAGTCTCATCTGTTTAATTGGATTCTCTTGATCTATTTTTAAGACTTGTGAGAACATTTTCGATCAAATTTAAGTAGAAACATCCAAAACAAGAAAGCATTTACAAACCTTTTTACAACCCTGTATAATAGAAGACTAGTCGGGATCCCCGCTTCTGCCCTGCTTGGCTTCCTCTGTCTCTGACTCTGAGTATTCCTGTTTTTGTTCAGTTATTCAGGATGTTTCCCATAGTTTGTTAAATTAGCTGTTTTTTTTTCCAGTATTTCTCTAGTTTCCCCTTTTTTCATTTGATTAGTAATTCCTTGTTAGAGTTCAGTTTACTGTTCAGTAACTGTTTGTGTTTTGCTTATTGTTTATACGTATTGAATAAACCTTGTTTGTCACTCTTAATCTGTCCCTGCCTCTTGTGGTGTCTGCACCTGGGTCCAAACCCGAATTCCTCCTCATGACAATGTGAATATGCTGCTCTCGCCATACGGATGATAAACCCCCCCGATTGAGGTTCAGTGTCCTGTCCTGGCTGTCCTGGTTGTTTTTTATAAAATGTTTTTTATCCTGTCCTGGAGGAGGCATACTTTAAATGTACTGAAATTATCGGGCTTCTTTGAGTAAACTTCGAGTATCATTTGAGTGTGTCATTGCTGGGCCGATAATTTGGCCAAAAAGCTGTTATAAAAGCTGAAGCAGAGGAAAACAGTAAAATTGGTGACTGTGTGAGCACTGACCTGCCATTCTTTGCAGTCTGGGAGCTGAGCCATTCTGAACAGAGACAGGCCATTGAAGAGTTGCCAGAACTACGAGACAAAACCAGAGGACTTAAAGTTTAGTTTTGTTGACAAGGGAATGGATGTAGCATGAAACTAGGCAGACACACAGACATGCTAAAGATTAGGCTCTTATCCAGATCACCAAAAACCTCAGCGCTGTCTCAAATTATGTCGAATACACTGAATAATGTTAAACCAAGAATGACACCAGCAGTTTTTTTAGTCTTCCTGCAGTGTAAACCATGACAAAGCAAAAAATAAATTCATGCAAACGAAGCAGTTGGAGAAACTTTTCCGCGTCACAGCTTGTACTCACATGTCCAAAAAACAGGAAGGGCAAAAGAAACGTCAGGCCTTTCCACATCCACGACTGAAATCCCTCTAAAGAAAGAACGCGGACAAGATTTGAATGTGTTTATTAAACTCACACTCACACTACACGCCTGATCAACTTTAAAGAGACATTTTTACTGAACAGTTCATTAAATTGTCTGCCCGAGTTCACCCAGTGTCCTTGGCTTATTTAAATGTAGCTCACCCACGGTCAGATCCATGTTGTGTCTTTGCCCCAGAGCTCGTAGTCTGTACAGACATCCACTCTGATAATAGCACTGCAGACACTGAACAAAGCCTGTGATGACAGAAACACACATCAGATTTTTGTGTGGTCATAAAAAGTTTTAATGATAAACGTGGTTTGAGCTTACTTTGATAGACAGAGTAGGCAAGGAACTGGTTCCTGAACATCTTGTACTGGTTCCCGTCTGGCCTTGAAAAGGAAGACATTGGAATTTAAATTTCAAAGTTTGAATGTGTTAAAATTGTGTTTCCTTGTTCATTTGTTTGAATGGATGGATGGATGGATGGATGGATGGATGGATGGATGGATGGATGGATGGATGTCCATCTTCCCTTTACTCACCATGTCAGCATTACACCGGACAAAAAAGCTGATATATAGTGATGGAAAACCCACCATCCTTTGATTCTATAACGCAGGACACATTTCAAAACATATTCAAATTGTATGTTTGGGTAAACAGATGAAGATATGACAAAATAATGAACTACTACAGAATGTTTAAAAAACAAAAACAAAAACAGTGAAAATGATGGCAAACATCTGTATTATAGTTATATTTTTAACTAATTAAAATACAGTAAAACTGTATAATTTTATGGTCACACATTGTAAGAGAACAAATTACTATTTGTGAAAACACAGATTTTTAATGCGGATGTTGTTTGCAGTTTTGGCCTGTTTCTTTTTGATAGTCAACATGTAAATTAATGCTGTTTTAATGTGATTTTAATAGTTATTATCTATAATTTAACAAAACCGTAAAAACTTTAAAAAAAAAAAAGTTAAAGAATGATTGCTATTTTTTAATTCTTAAAATACTTTTTTTTTTGTTTTCAAAAACAGAACGCTATTGTTTTTATAGTGTTATTTTATGGTCATTCATTTCACAAGACCAAATTACAAATTTAATTACAAATTTAAGATGATTTTTGATGTGGATATTATTTTCAGTTTTGTCCTGTTTTTTATTTATTTGTTTGTTTGTTGACAGTCAACATATGAATTAGAACTTTTTTTCTGTGATTTTACTATATTTTACTAGCATTGTCTGTATCTATTTATAATGTTTGTTTTGTTTGTTTTTTGTTTTACAGTTTTCCAAATCACTTTCAAATAACAGCAAATATCTTTAAAATAATTTATTTTATTTTTTACTGATTAAAATATTGTCAATATGTGTAATTTTTATGGCCATACATTTTAAAAGAAGAACCATTTGTGAAATATAGATTTTCTTTTATGTACATTATTTACAGTTTGCACTTTTTTTCCCTCAGGCTAGACGTAAATTAATTACTTCAGTAAATAAGTGTAATTAGATTTATTTATTTTTTAATCTGTAAAATGTCAGTAAATTGTTAAACAAACTACAGTTAAAAACTGCTTGCTGCAGTGTAATGATAATGTATGCATAAAAGGTTTAGAAGCGATGAATGTTTTTTCTATTTTAAGAAATGTATATGCAGTGATGTTATTTTCAGCAAATGAAAAGATAAGTTGTACAGACCTGGAGCCATTGGTGATGAGGATACTTTCCCGGATAGTTAATGTGCTATAGTAAAATACCAGCAGGAAATTGAGGATTGCATCAAGAAACCTAAAGTCAAGGACAAAAGCTGTGTTATATTCAGACTGACAGTGAATACAAAACTAGTGTAAAGAAACTATAACTGTTACAGGTGATGGAGCTGGTAACCATCACAATATGCTGTTAATGATGTTTTCTGTACCTGTAGCTCACAGAGAAATAACATATGAAGGAGAACATCATCAGGACGACGGTGAGGTACAGCTTGAACTTCTCATATTCATCCTTGTAGGCAAATCTGATGAAGATGTAACATATTCAGAAACCAATACAACCAGGTACAACTAAAAGAAATTCATCAGCTAATGAAAAAGGGAAAACAAGGGATCTTTTTAAAACATTAACTGAAATGCTTTTAGGACATTAAAAGCTGCAGTGATTGGATCATGATCTGCCATAAATCATCTCACTGAATAAGAGGAGACCAGTAAATCAAGATGTCAGTGCTTGAAAACGGTTGCTTAAGCAAGTCAGACAATAAAAATAAAAAGCGGATTAAATACTCTGTGTGTTTTGGCGTGAATGGCCATTGCTTACTTCAGCTGCTTGCTAAGAAGAGTGACATTCACATTTCCAAGCACCAAACTGAGGTATAACCTGCAAGAAGGAACAATAGCATTGTTTTTCTTATTTAACTTTACAGAAGGTTTTGCATGTAATTCATAAAATGTTGTGCTTTTTAAAAAAAAGTTTTGAAAAGTTTAAAATCATCACCCATTTTTCTTGGGAAGGAAAGCTTCCATTTCAAAGAAAGCGTTTGGTCGTGTCTTGATTTTCTCTTTTATTTCATCCAGTTTCTTCGCATCTTCCACTGATGGTCCTTTGCTGCATCTGATGAATGATGTAAAGGCACAAGTTCATTTTGTATCACTGGTGAGACATATTTACAGTATCTGAGCTGAGGAGGGACCATTTAGTCAATATTGGTTCATCTGTTTATCCTCCCTGTAACTGTTTCTGACTGGATGTTTTGTATTTATCTGTACCTGTAATTGCAAATACGCATCCATGCAAATTTGTGGGTGTGAGTGGACACTTACTTTTTCACTAAGTGGGACATTTCATTCAGTCTTCTCCGCTGACGGGAAATGGAAGAAGAGCAGTTGTTTTGTAGTTTGGATATTTCATCCAGTTTCTGCAAGTACGTTCTGTGTGTCTCCTGGATGGTCATAGGAATACAGTGTTACATTGATACTCAGCGTAATGTGTAACTCACAAGAACAATTTTCAGCTTTTTAACTTTTTTCGTATTGCGTCCTATTATAATCTGGAGCAGAACCAAGAAAATAAACTTTACAGAGACATTACAGTTTTACAGGAGGTTTAGTTGATAGATAATAAAGTTTTAGAGTCACACACAAAAAAAAACAAAGCACAACATACACGAGTCGGAATTGCTTTGTGTGAACAATGTAATACTGGCAGCTGGTTATAGCCCATTTCCTACCTGAAGTTGCTGATACTCTTCTTCCAGACATTTCCACTCCTCCAGAACTTCTGTTAAACCTTGAGACATGTTGTGAACACCTTACCGTTGCACTAACAGCAAACTCAGATCCACTTTAAAGCGATGAAAATTGTTTAGCCACTTTGAAATGCTTGAAATGCTAAGTTGAAGTATTGTCAGGGTGTGAATCACATCTCCATGGGCCGTTTATTGCAGAAAGTGAACTTTGACTATTACATATGTGCAAGATTTTGACTTGGACATTGTTCTGTGGAAACTCTTGGGTAATTGCATTGTTCAGTTCTCACTCACACAGCTAAAAGTGTTATTGTTAACAACATTATTTACAAGGAAAACACTAGAGGTCTACAGTTTTACCTTGGCTAGGCTTCACCCAGCTCCCTGTTGGAGAGATGTTGCCTTTGTGCACATTTTATCGCCAAATATGTTTTTCTCAGTTATACAGCTGCAAATTAGCAGCATCTGGTGGACTGAATCAGTTTCTAACTCAGGAGAAGCTTTTGCTTCAGTAATTTCATGGCACATGGTAAAAAAATTAAAATAAATAAATAGAAATAAATATATATATATATTTGAATTGATTAAAATGCTCACAACTACGGCAAAACAGAAGAAAAAGCCCTGTTATAATTTTCTTTTTAAACACTAGACATAATGTTTTTTAATTTCAGCTCTTTATTTGGATTATAGTCGTCTTGCTAATATCTAAATAACATTACAATTATTTTACTTGAGGTATCTCGATGTAACATTTTGACAATACAAAATAAGCTGCTGTTTTTATTTTTATACTATTATTATTATTATTATTATTATATTGAATATACAGACATACACTTCTTTTTTTTTTTTTTTTTTTTACCATAAGAGTGATATGGAGGGTTATCCATTCATTTTAACAAATAATAGCATTTGTTTTTGTGATATTTTAAAACATAACTAGGATTTTTTTTGAAAGAGGACGGGATTTTCCAACTAGTTTTATAATAACAAAGTTGTCATCTGTTATCATTTAATTACCATCCAGATTTGTCCACTTATGCATCCTTCTTGTTGGCACATTGATATTCAGAAAATACAGTACATTTTAAAGGAAAACTGACATTGTTGTTAAAGAGAGCATCTTTTTCATTTTACCTTTCAGTATCTGTCAGTTACAGAACTGAACATTAGCAGCATCTGGTGGACCAAATCAGTTTCTAGCTCAGGAAAAGCTTTTGCTTTTGTAATTTCATTGTACACATAGCAATTTTGAGGAAACAAGAATGAACGAAGTAATTTGAATAAATGCAAATACTCACAAATTATACATAATGTGTCAGCTCCACAACTGATATTTCATTAGCTATTTCGTAACTTTATTATCAAATGACTACTATTGGTATAGTGAGTGAGTTATCACCACACCAAGGAGTTAAATAAACGAAAAACGAACTGCAGTAGTAATAAAACATTTCCAAAAGTTTTTCATCATTTCAAACGTGGCGCTTTTATTGTGAAATATTCGAGCAGAACCATTGTTTCTCGGTGAAAGGGGAGCAGAGGTGAGCGCATGCGCAGTGGACTGACAGCTACCGGTGAGTGTTTGGTTGCAGCTGTTTGCTGCAGAGCTCAGAGCTGCTGTGGACGAGAGGCCAGTTCATCACTGTTTCTCCATACAAAGTAGCTCGCTGAACGTTTTCCAGGACAACAACAACATAGTCAACAGTAACAGAAAGAGCAACCCGACTACTTTGATGACAAAGGTAAGAGTTCATATTTTTAAGTTCGACCCTTTCTCAGCTAACATTAGCCTGCCGGTAGTTTAGCTAGCAGCCATCATCAGTACGCTGGTCAGCGTTAATGTCGTTTATCAGCTGTTGCAAATGTGCATTTTTGATATGGTAATGTTGCTGTTGATGCTATCCTGTAAGTTAGCTGAATTTGAACAATTCGAGCTGGTGTTAGAAACAACCAGCTCGAATTGTTCTTGGGACAACAAATAAATATTCATAATAACAACGCCAGAATAACCTTTGCTGCGGCTTTATGCCCTCTTGGATGATAGATTTGTATTTTATTTTTGCTCTTTAAAGCTACCCTTACTCTTGGAATATAATTATGTAAAGGAAGATGTAATTCAGTCTGTTTTTACTCGTGAGACACAAACTGGGCATGTCTCATACAGTGTTATTTATCTAACACAAACTTACTTCATTGTAATTTGGATGATTTGTCCATTATTCAGTCTCATGTCCTGGGAACAGTTGCTCACATGCTTCCGTTAACTGATTTTCTCCAATTATTTCCTTTTACACTGGATTCTTTGGGGTAGATGTAAAATGATTAGTTGTTTTCCCATCAACAGGACATTTAATCAACAGCAAACCTAATTTGTAAGAGCATTTAAAGTATAAAAAAACAGCTTTAATATGCCAAAATGGACATATTTTCTGGCCTTTTATGGAAAAAAAATATGAGTAAATCAAAGTAATACATTTAAGATTCCACTGTATAAATAGTGGCCCTACGTTGAGGTTTTAGCTGTAAGCAGTTCCAAGTATACAGTTTTAAGACCCCCATTTCATCATTGCTTACTTAAACAATTCTATTTATTGATTCATCGGTTGGATATTTTGGGGGACACCTCCTACTGTTCATGAAATTATCTCCTAAGGATTCAACTCCGCACTATGAGATGACTTGTTGTTGTAAATATGCACTATGCAAATAAAATTGAATTGAATTGAACTGAACGCTGTATTTATCTGTCTGGACAGACACAGCCAATGAATTGGTTCAAACCCAGCTTCACTGCTGATGTTAACTGGATGCTGTTTGTTTGCAGTTGACTGATAGGAGATGTGTGCCGCCGTGTATGTCCTGTCAACGGTAACGGGCTATGTGCTCACCTCTGCCCTGCTGCTAAAATGTCCAAATCTTATACACCGGAGGAAACGAGGAGCGTTCCTCAGCAAGCACATTTCACATCGTGGAGGTGAGTCGGTGATGGCACTTCTTCCAGTTTCACCATCTACCAGGTGAAATCCCCTTTGAATAAAAGTCCCTGACGGTAACCATTTTAATAGTTTATGCTGGTTATTTTCTCATTGTAAGAGCACACTAGCTGTTCAGTGTTTGACTACTTTGTCACCACTGGTGAGGATGTACTCACTTTACTCATGGATGTATTTACATGGTTTTGGTTATATTGCAGTGTATATTACTTTGCTTCCATCACATGGGATTGTCACCAGCTATTTATAGCATTTTTGTTTGTCTTTTATGCTATCGTCATTACAGAAACTTAAATAAGTTACATAAGTTACATGAGATGAACTTCAGAGTAAATAAAAGGAAGGGTGAGGCCTACATGAACAAATTGTAAGCAAATGATCTCCAGTAGGTCAAAGGCATCCCTGTTTTGGCTGTTCAGGCAGATCTTTCAGCTGTGGGTTCCATGGGTTCACACAAATAAAATTGAGACACTGTACCATGCTTAATGTTTACTTTTTGCATTGCAGGGGCAGGTGAAAACCTGGAAAACACGATGGCAGCTTTCAAACAGTAAGTAGAAATCTTCACAATGACAAAGCATTTTCTTGGATGGAACGCTTGCTCACGCTTGTGACTGTGGGCAGTGTGTGTCATCTGAGCTGTTGGTTTTGTCTTTGTAGCCACACTTAAGCAAACAGGAATCAATGCATTATATAATAGTTCATATGAAAGGCTTCGATGATCCACTTCTGTGTCTGCCTGGTTTGTTAATCAAGTATGACGCAACTGCTTTATGATTTTATTGAAAGTATGTTCTATCTTTCATACCGGTGAGTGTAGAGTCCAAATGTCACTGTTGAGACTGTTTGCCCGACCTCAATGACACCAGTGCTGAGGTTAATGAGATATGAGTTGACTGAACTTCTCTTGGTGTCGTAATAAATGCAGTATATGTGCTGTGTGTTGTTTGATGCAGTGCTGTGGATCTCGGCACAGACATGCTGGAGTTGGACTGTCACATAACTAAAGATGAACAGGTAGTGGTTTCACATGACGGCAACTTGGAGAGGGCTTGTGGCATCAACGCCAACATTTCTGACATGTGCTATGCAGTAAGTTTCTACTCCTTTATCATTCCACTGCCATAGCTGACAGAGAAATAACAACCTCTTTACCATCATTTAATCATCCATCCAGCTCTCTGCATGGTTTAGCTGCCTCTTTCATTTTCTTACAACTCACTTGTTTAAGAAAAATCTATATTCTTAACAAAACACTGGATTCTATATTTTCATGAAGTATTCTCTTGGCTCAGTGTAAAAAGATGATTTACAGGAACACAGAAGTCACAACGAGTTTCACATGGATGTAGGTTAAAAACTTGAAGTCAAGAGTATTTTTGCCAATTCAAACAACTTATATGTTGAGTTTGCTTGTAGACTTATTTATGTGAGATAACAGCATTGATGGATCATATGCCTTGGTCAGGTGAAGTCTATACCATATCACCTGATTGTGTCACATGATGATAAAAAAAAAAGAAACATCTGATCCAGCAGAATTTTTTTGCAAGTCAGCGGATTAGTTTTTACATAGTAAGGATTTGTGCTCTGCTCTGTTCTGTTTTAGACTTTTTCAATGGTTTGAAGTTTTTATGTATTATGAAAAAAAGGATCTCTGTTTGGTGGAGAAGACCAACAACCACAACTAAAACTCAAACGTTATCTCATCGAAATGAAGATGAGATTCATGGTTTTAGTGTTCTCCAGCCTTGTAGTAGAGAGAAACCCAGAGTTCACTGATGCAAATCTTGTTTTCACATGACCTTAGTTGCATCATTTTACTTCTATACTGACTAGCATTAGTGTGAACACCCCCAGTCACGCTCATCGGGCCACCTCTGGGCCTGACCATACAGGCTCCAAATATAGATCGTATTTGTTATCTGTTAACCACAGACTGCTGTCTGCTGTTTGCAGGAACTCCCTCCATACCTCTGCAAGCTGGGCGTAACTTTTCAGAGAGGTGAGTTGCACATACCCATGACTTATGTAATAATACAGAGTTAACACCACCCACACAGAGATGAATTCTCAGCCAATACCTATAGTCAATGTGGCCATTCAGTGCTGCATCTGATGTATATTTGTGTGTAGAAACAAATATCATGTATTGGAATTGTGCCTATTGACCACCAGTATAATGGATTGATTTTCTGTAGCAAATTTGAAAATGACAAAGATCAACTGTATCAAGTGAATGTATTTTTAGTTAAGATTGTGCATTTTTTAGATACTAAACTGATTGCAGCTGTTGGCCAGGACACTGCAGCTGAAATGAAAAATAAACTTGGACTAACTTGAATTGACATGTAATCTGAAGCTGACAGTGTTTTCAACCCGTCCTTGTCTGTGCAGAGTGTTTCTGTGAGGGAGGAGAAGACAAACGCATGCCTCTCCTTCGGGACATTTTTGATGCTTTTCCTAATACCCCTGTCAACATTGACATCAAGGTCAACAATGACACACTCATCAAGAAGGTGTGTGTGTATCTGCATCTCATGTTTGTTTGTTTTTTTATTCCAACATCCTTTTAGTTTCCTAGAATTTTAGGTCAGATTTTTGTTAAATCCTTAAATTAAGCTTATTGGTCACCTCATTGTATATCAAAAAGTGTAAGTAAACCAGAGTCATTAAAATTATGATCCATTGTTGTAACTTTGCCTCAATATTCTGAGAAATAACAGGGTTAGATTCTCAAAAAAATGTAATTGTTACTTCAAAACTTTAAGGACCATTTTTTTTCCTTAGAAGCTAAATGTTCAGTTTTTAAAAACTGAATTGCAAAATAAAATGTCCTGATTTATGTTTCACACCTTTTCAATCCTTGCAGGTCTCTGAGCTGGTTGTTAAATATGACAGAGAGCATCTGACTGTGTGGGGCAACGCCAGAAACCAGATTGTCAAAAAGTGTTACAAAGAGGTAGGTTTATAGAAGCTGTGTAACATTTTTTTTTGGCGACATTTGTGTACAGTTTTTATTCGTCTTTTTTGATTATGTCACATTTATTCCAGTCATTTTAGGAGGTGAATAACCACTGAACAGTAAAGAACCTTCCACTAGTAGTAGTGATGATAGAAATCCTTGCATCTAGTAGGTCTTATAGTAGGACGAATAGAGTGCTGTAGAAGAGTCCTAAATCTGGCAAAGAACATTTCAGACATGGAGATATTTAAATATTCTAAATTGCTTTGAATACACTGCTTAGGGGAGTCAGTATTTACTTTTTCAGCAAATATCTTGTTTCTCAAAATGTAATCAGGCACAAAAATAGACATGTCCTCCAGAGACTACTTTTAAAAGTACAACTTATCTTATCACTTCAAAATATTAATGAGAACTGACCTTAAGTTTCTGTTGTTTGTTTGTTTTTGCAGAACCCTCAAATTCCAGTGTTGTTCAGCCTTCCCAGAGTACTGCAACTGCTAGGCCTCTTCTACACCGGCCTGCTGCCCTTTGTTCCCCTCAAGGAGCAGTTCCTGGAGATCCCAATGCCCTCCATTATAACTAAGTAAGTACACACATGCACATAAATCAAATAACACACATAGATGTCCTCTACGGCTTAGGTTTGTCAGTAAGACAAATGGTAATCCTACACTCCACCAGGGATGATCACTATCAATCTACTAGTACACAACATTTTAACAGCAGTAGGTCAGAGGTTAAGGCCTGTTTTACTGGGATAGGTTTTTTTCCCCCCTCACTTTCCTGTGGCTCAAGTCCCAAAATGAGCCTTGAGCCCATAACAAAATGGCCTCTATATGACATAACCAGTTTTAGTGGGTCACAGCGGGATTAAATTTGCCTCAAACTCTAAAACATGCACAGAACATAACCTACTGTTTGAATGACAGTGGTGGTCAGAGTGCTGTCGGCTGCTGTGTCCGAGGAAAAGAAAACACTTGTTAATGCTACGAGTTGATCCCCCACTAATGTGATACTTAAATGGTTTAAACAATTTGTGGAAATGAGCTTCAAGGTTCTTTAGCAACCTTTGAAAAAAAACTGTTTGACCAAACAATCTTGGAACAAGGTCTGTTTACATGGAACTTCAATGACCTTTCAACGACATCGTGTCTTCATAAGCACACATTATCTCCTCAGACACCAGAGACAAACCCTGAACAGAGGCGGGAGTGTGAACACACGGCCTCAACTTTCAAATTTAACCGCGTGAGCCGACTAAAATTCAGGAGAGTGTTCATTGAGTGGACCTTATGCTAAGGATTTCTTAATCAAAATGTGTAAGAAAGTTACACACATGATTCTATTTTGTTTTCTTTTTTATTAAATGTACTTTTAACGTTTAGCTTGTGTCGTTCTTGGCTAATTTGTACTCCCCTTACTATGTTCGCTGGTTGACCGTCCTTTTTGTGTGTGTTATCTTCATTGCTGTTTGAAGGATGCTGTTTCAAAGACAAACTTGCTCTGTAATTAAGTCATTAAAAGAAACATTCACACCCCTCGTCTGGAAAAGCGTGTGTTCGCAGATCACAAGAATCAAGGTCAGAGCACAGATTATACATGCTTAACATTCATTAAGGATTAACTGATTTCTTCTATTACACTTTTGTCGTACGAAATACTTGCTTTAACACACTCCACCCTCCAAACGTCTGTGCTTGACAGGGAATTATGTTAGTCAAAGAGAGTGTTTTCTTACATTATTCAAAGTCATTTTGGTTAATGATTTCCTTCATTTCTGAGAATGAATCTCAGGACTCCCGAGAACATGTGTGGAACTTGTTCCATTCAGCTGTTGTGGGCTGTATTTGACGAGAGTAAATTTAGCTTTACCGTGTTATCTTTCACCTCCCATGGCCTGTAATGCAAGAAGTGAAAAAGCTTTGATTGATTACTACAACAATTTCCTCCCATGTTCTACACTGTCTCACTGGAGAAACCACATCAGTGTTTTTTTGTTTTTTTTCCCACTAATATTCTACTTTTCTGTGTTATTTTTACAGACTAAGGGATCCTGACAGATTAACTAGGGGTCAACGAATCATCACCTGGCTGGCAGACACGTAAGTCATTCATTCATCCAAACACTAAATAATGAAATCCATCTCCCTCTTTATTTTAATTCCAGTGAGGCTGATTCAGTGGATGTTTTTAAAATTAAAAAAATCTCTGTTTTAAACTTGTAAACCTGCACTGCTGGACTTTTTAGTATTTCTTCCTGGTACTGATATCAAACTGTGCGATCGTGATTAATGCAAAACCTCTACAAGTGCACAACAAAAGTTCTTTCTGTCTTTGCCACACTTGCACTTTCTCTCTGCCCACCAGCATTTATTTTTTTCTCTTGCAGTTTGCTGATGAGGAAAGCTCTGTTTGAGCATTTAACTGCCAGGGGAATACAGGTAAAACTGCTGCTTTTCTATTGTGGTCCTCACAAATGAAAAAAAAAAAAAAAAGTATGAATGATTAAATACCCAGTGGATACAAACTGATAAATGCATTTTGTGTTGGAATGTAATATCCAATGACCGTCTCCCTATTAAGTATGACGACTGTATTTCTTTTATTTTTGCACTTTCTTGGAGCTCTAAACCTGTTTGCTCACATTATAGGGAGATTTTTTTCCAGTTTTCACATGGACAAAGCAACAATGTACATATACAACAGCTATGTGTATACACTCACTGGCCACTTTATTAGGTACACCTGCCCAACTGCTCGTTAACGCAAATTTCTAATCAGCCAATCACATGGCAGCAACTCAATGCATTTAGGCATGTAGACATGGTCAAGACGATCTGCTGCAGTTCAAACTGAGCATCAGAATGGGGAAGAAAGGTGATTTACGTGACTTTGAACGTGGCATGGTTGTTGGTGCCAGACGGGCTGGTCTGAGTATTTCAGAAACTGCTGATCTACTGGGATTTTCATGCACAACCATCTCTAGGGTTTACAGAGAATGGTCCGAATAAGAGAAAATATCCAGTGAGCGGCAGTTCTGTGGGCGCAAATGCCTTGTTGATGCCAGAGGTCAGAGGAGAATGGCCAGACTGATTCGAGCTGATAGAAAAGCAACAGTAACTCAAATAACCACTCGTTACAACCGAGGTATGCAGAATAGCATCTCTGAACGCACAACACGCGGAACCTTGAGGCGGATGGGCTACAGCAGCAGAAGACCACACCGGGTGCCACTCCTGTCAGCTAAGAACAGGAAACTGAGGCTACAATTTGCACAGGCTCACCAAAATTGGACAATAGAAGATTGGAAAAACGTTGCCTGGTCTGACGAGTCTCTGTTTTCTGCTGCGACATTCGGTGGTAGGGTCAGAATTTGGCGTCAACAACATGAAAGCATGGATCCATCCTGCCTTGTATCAACGGTTCAGGCTAGTGGTGGTGGTGTAATGGTGTGGGGGATATTTTCTTGGCACACTTTGGGCCCCTTAGTACCAATTGAGCATTGTGTCAATGCCACAGCCTACCTGAGTATTGTTGCTGACCATGTCCATCCCTTTATGACCACAGAGTACCCATCTCCTGATGGCTACTTCCAGCAGGATAATGCGCCATGTCATAAAGCGTGAATCATCTCAGACAGGTTTCTTGAACATGACAATGAGTTCACCGTACTCCAATGGCCTCCACAGTCACCAGATCACAATCCAATAGAGCACCTTTGGGATGTGGTGGAACGGGAGAGTCGCATCATGGATGTGCAGCCAACAAATCTGCAGCAACTGCGTGTTGCTATCATGTCAATATGGAGCAAAATGTCTGAGGACTGTTTCCAATACCTTGTTGAATCTATGCCACGAAGGATTAAGGCAGCTCTGAAGGCAAAAGGGGGTCCAACCCGGTACTAGAAAGGTGTACCTAATGAAGTGGCCAGTGAGTGTATATACAGACTTTTGTAAAGGTCATGTTTAATCTTGTATAATCAGACCATTTCAAAGCACCAAATGGTCTGACTGCACCTCATTATCATTCTGCTATGGAGGGGAAAACACCCTGGCTTGTCCCAATCAAGTTTATTTGCTCTTGATCTAGTCTGATTTATTTAATATTTAGTATCTGCAAATACCTGATATCATTTACCAAGATAATACCTATTGTATTGTAGATTAGCTGTAATGCCTGGTTGTGTGACCAATGTGGAGCTTTCTATTGTTTAATACTGTAGCGACCAGAGGAGGTGAGCAGCTCCTTCTTAGCAAGCAGAGTGCATTGTGGGGGTTTCACTAGTACAGGGGCACCATGACAAATCTTGTGTGATCTTAATGACCTCCAGCCAGTGCACATGTGCAAAATCAATCCCTGTGCCTTATATGATGGTCGCTTTCACAGCCAGTATCATGCATCTGTGCCCTATAACAGCAATATCAGCATAGGACAAGTATCCAGTGTGTTTCGTTTGTAATCTAAATTATTCCATCTTTGAATAATGATGCGGACCTGTGCAAAAGATCTCACTTAGGTTCATGCTCATACCGATGAGTTAAAATTTGCCTCAATTGCCCCTGATCCCATTCTTAGGATGGGAATGTAGGGAGGCGAGTCATGTTATTAACAAGGATTATTCACTGCAAAAAAAACTATCAGCATTGCCTGACTGCACGATCCAAATCCTTGGCAAAACTTGAAATTTAGTAGTTGTTGTAGGTGGTGTAAGGTGAAGGGAAACTGGCATGAAATACGCAGCCAATGGCAAGCTTATACCAGCAGCCGACATCTGGCAAGTCAGACTAAACCACTTTCCTGGTATTATCTTTACTTCCAAGAATAACTGAAAAAACTTTCCGCATTATAAAATATCAGTCCTGAGCCTGTCTGTGTGCTAAGAGCTGTTTGTTGTAGTTGCAGTAGTTAAAAGCATTCACTGGGAGATGTCCAAGGTTCCTACAAGTTCAAATATAGGCTAGAGTGGCTGTTAACACTGCTGTCGGAGAACAGAAGCATTCTTGTGACTCTTTCCAGTGTGTGTATTAACTCTTGCATCTGGTTTCAGGTGTACATTTGGGTGCTGAACGACGACGAGGACTTCCAGAGGGCATTTGACTTGGGAGCCACAGGAGTTATGACAGATTTTCCCACCAGGCTTAAAGACTTCATGGACAGGAATGGCATTTCTAAGCCAGAGTGACCTGCCAAATCTACCTCGCCCCGCCTCACCAGTGATTATCCTTCAAGCTGACTGACCTGCCAAACCAGCCCCCCACATGAACCCACTTTTACTGCATGCATTCCAGCAGGGCTCCTCTCACACTGTGTTTTACAATTAGTCAGGATCTCCAACACGCTCTGCACCCACAGCATTATTTGAGGCTCCAGTTGTTGTACTTCTGTTGGCAATACAAACTTTTTCTGCTCTTTCAGTCACATAAACAACCCACAACGGTACCTGCTAGAGAATATTATCCTTTTTGAGTTGTGCTCCGTGTTCCCACGCTCCACAAACCTGCGCACAAACACACACACACACACACACACACAACAATACTCATATTGCACACTCATTTAAAACCATACAATATTTTTAAGTATATCTAAAAAAAAAAAGAAATGGGACAAAATAGCCATTGAAATATTGCGCTTGCTAGTCTTATGGGTCTTGAATTTCATAATAGATTCACAACTTTTTTTTTAAATAGATGTTTACTTATGTAAAGACTTTAGCTTTTTTAATGCTGTTAAAGTCACAGTTTGCAGTATTACCACATCATGATTCAAATATTGTACTTGTAAAAATATCCGCAGATGCAGCTTGATGTTGGCATATTGCTTTTCCCTTTTTCTTGTTACCAGATCGTCACTTGGCACATGCAATAATAGACTTGTGAGATGTTTTTATATGTGCCAGATGCCGCCAAACCTTTCCTATTCTTCTTAAATAACAGAGCACACACCAAACCTCAACTCAACTGAGTTTAAAAAGAGCAGTGTGACAGCTTAAGTGGGCAGCGCCACTGTTCCACATCTACAGGACGTTTAAGCAGAAGCAGTTTCAGCTCACCTGTGCACTGTACTGCAATAACCACTGTTTCTGTATGCTGTGTCGTATGTTTACTTGTAGTTGCTTAGTAGCTACAGTCCAAGACATTGTTGGTCCGATAATGAATCCAAGAGAGAAACTTTGCACAAAAAAAAGAAACTTCATTTTGTTTGTTTTAGTACCCTTGTCCACCTGTGTCTGTGTGATTAAAACAGCATTAGGCTTTATATTTAGGAAATATTAACATTTTTGATATTTAAAGTATTTGGCAACCCAGTTGAGGCAGTGATGCATGTTGATGGATCGCTTCACTGTGGTTAAAATGCATTAAAGACAGCCCATTGTCTAGCCAATTCCACACTGTGGCGGTGTACAGTATGAAAGATCCATAGGATTATCATACCAATGACGTCCTCTGATCCAAACCTGTGACCACGCAGTGAGAGTCCGTAATGAATGTAGTATTGGTTGAATGTACTGTACGTTGTTCAATATTTTACAGTCAGAACAGTATTGCAGTTTCATAGATATTTGTTTAATATGAGTGCTGTGACTGAGTTTAATCTGCACATGTCAATCTGATGTCCGTTGTTTTCCCCAACTGTTCATTCAAAATTATTGTTCTTTGAGAGACTTGATCAACCAATCATATTTCAGATATTGGAAGTATTTTTATGACATTATCTGTGCTGTGCTGAGTGTACTTTCTTTTTTTGCATGCCTCTAAAGAAGCTATTGTATTTAAACATGTTGTGAACCAGTTTGTGGGACTTGGTTGTTTGGACTTATCAAAATACCTTATCCCACATACAAGATGTCATATGATTTCCTGTGAGTTAATTAAAAAGTACATTTTCTTTTGTACCAGTAAACATAAATAAATTGCTATATATATATGTAGTGTGTATGTGTGGTAGAATACCAGCTTTCTAACGTTGTTTTTGATCACTTCGAACTATAATCATATAGTTTCTATAATCAAGTATTTGGTAACCAACCGACAGAAGGTGGCGCTGCAGACTGGACTGACTTCAGGTGTTTTTCATTTAACGGAAAACTTGATGATGCTGAACATGTTTTGTGACAATAAAATCATCCGCAAAAACGATTTTCTGCTCACTTTTACGAGAACCCGTGAAGTCTTTCCTGCTTTTCCCCCCCCGGCGTTAAATTATTTTAATAAAACTACAGTCTCAGGTCGCTTCCAGAGAATTCAGTGAAATGTGTGAGATTTCGATGAGATTATTGGTTGCTCACTTTTAGCACTGACCAATAAGCGCCGTGTTGCTATGCCTGATCGGCTCTGTGATTGGCTGATAGGCCTGTCAGTCATTCACCAAGTTAACGGGCTATGTGATTGTTGACAAAGAGTGTCAAGTCAAGATGAGTAACGTACAGAGTTTTTCCTATAAGTACTGCTACTTGGAAAATAATGGAGTTAAGTGTTACACAAGTCGTGAAACTACAATAAAAAAAGAAAAAGAAAGCAGTGCTGGAAAAGGTTTTCATAAATGTCGGACAGTTTTCACCTTTTTTCGTTCAGCTGGCGTTCCGTCTTGTGGTCTAGACTGTATATAGTCTATGGTTAGGGCCTATCAAAAGGACTCTGTCAAAACTGAACACGGAACAATAAGAGTAATATCCAAGGAAACTTTGACACTCGATTTCATACCATTTATTCGTTTTATATTGTAAACTATTGCAACAAATGCCATGTTGCACGTCACAATGCTCTTATTGAGCATGTGCAAAACAGTGCTTTGACAACTTCAATTAGAAATATGTTTAACAGTTGTCGGACGTTCAAAACCATGTGGCCTAAAAGTCTAACCAAAATAAAACAGATACTGGTGACGAACTGGCTCAATAAAAATTGCCGTGTTGAGCGTGTAACGGTTTAAAGCGAACACAGAAGTGTGTGGGAGGCAGTCCTCTCGCTCCGGCTGGACGCGTCACCACTCTCTGGCTCTCTGCCGTTTCTAAACTCTGCTGAGCATCGTTGCGCGTCAAAACATTGCGTCTCTGCAGGACTTGCCAGGGCCGGACAGGAGAGGAGAGGAGAGGAAATTTGCCTGGGGAGGAATGCGAAAGAGGGTTTAAGGATTGGCACTGCCACGAGGAAAACGAGGAGGTGCGACATTTTCTAGGTTACGCGGAGATCCGTTTTTTCTTCCTTTCAAAGGTAAGAAAAAAAGATTTTCCTCTGCGTAATGTTGCACTCTGGTGCATTTGTTCTGCACTGTTTTCATAACGCTCTATAAGGCTTAATCAAGCATCGATGTAGCCGATACTTTTCAATGATGGCAACTTTAAGCTGAGACTGCAAGGTACACATGCTGGAGTACTGCTGTGTAAGATTTATGTAGTGTATGATTTTAAGGTGCGTTAGATGACAATGATGAAACAATGTTTTCATGTGTGGACTGATATTTGTGATGCTGAAGTCCTCTCCTGCAGTGGAGCTACAGTATGTGTGTGTGTGTGTGTGTGTGTGTGTGTGTGTGAGGGGGGGGGGGGGGGGTTATTATTAGGACACATGCTGTTTGTGGTGGCAGCCCTGCGCCATCATCCCTGTGCGTCAGCGCTGATCAATGCGGGTTATCGTGTAATAAGCTCACGTGATCATACACACACACACACACACACACACACACACACACACACACACACACACACACACACGCAGGCACACCTGTCAAAGTCATTGCGGATGTTAAAGCGTTTTCGAAAGACTGTGTGTCTCTTGTGCGTGTGCGCGTGTGCGTTTTCAGCATTGCCGAGCTGAGGCATCCCCGCCATCTGTGCTCCGTGTGGTGGCTGAAGTTCTGCCCCAGATAAAGTGCGCCACTGCCTGTGACCTCTTTCATACCAATAATCACTCTCTCTCTCTCTCTCTGTCTCTCTCTCTCTCTCTCTCTCCCTCTCACTGTAAACCTCAAGCCTTCGTGTTTTTGTGTTTTCACTGTTGTGATGCCCTCAGGTGATGAGACACACTGCTGCCACTCAACCACCCTGTAGCTACAAGGTTGTCAAAGTTAGAACCTGCAGGTGAAAAATGCTGCATTCTTACCCCCCCACTCCCCCAACAAAATCACCCAGATAAAGTCCACGTGAGTGCACAGACAGCTGAAGAACCAAGTCACAACCTTTCTACTCTTTGCGATCTATTTTCATTGCAGAGCGTGCACACAGATAGTTATTGATCATGTGGGGGGTCCAGGTCGATACCCAGGGATCGAAGATGGGGGTCAGAGAGTTGGAGGCCTTGAAAGGTGATCCTTCACAGACAGGACTTGTAAACACAAACAAAAGTTATGCACAGTGTGTTGCGCCTACAGTTTCACAAATATGACTGTGTTGTCAAAGGTGATAGCCACACACTAAAATGCTGCAGAAATAATGTCCACACATGAACTAGTAATACAGCACATCTTCCACGAGGAGAAATAGTGTCAAGAAACAGACGAAAACAAACTCTACAGAGCTGCTTTTCTCTTCCGAGAGAGCAAAACAAAAGGGAGACAGAAGAAGAGGAAGAGGCAGCAGTAACCAGACACACACACCCGAGAAGCAGCAGCATCACTTCATCAGTGAGATTTGATATGAGGGGGGAGTTTTTTCCTCCTCGAGTCAGTGATGTCATGCTGCTGTATGCTGTCGGCCTCGCTGTAACACTGAATGAGACGAAAGTACACAAAGTACAGAAGCCGTGTTGGTGCAGCTCGTGGGCAGCGTAGGACGCACAACTCATCCAAGCGCTGCAGGGACACACACCTCTTCTTCCCTTGTCTCCTCCTCTGTCCGTTTAACTCTCTCCCCGTCCCCGTCTGACTCTCATTTTTCACCTCGCATCTCTTCTTCCCCTCTGTCTTTCTCCTGCTCTCGATCATTGTCAGAAACAGCATCAGCAGCGGCAGCATCAGTGTGTTACATAACAAAGGTTTTTTTGTTGGGATACAAGGGCCCTTTTGGTTGGTGAGACTCGTGGCACGTAGCCTTTTGTGATGACACCCAGAAATGACCAGAATGGACAGCTCGGTGACCTCAAACGACCCGCTGCAGGACTGATGAATAGACATAGTGACAGCAGAAAAAATAAATTTACAAACAGGCGCAGACAAAAAATGGACTGTGCAGGTTGTGCAGACAGTCTCAGTCTTGTCTTGTCAGCTTTGATAATGTTTTCTGCTGTGGGAGCCTCCCTGGACTACTGTGATCAGCTCGTGTAGTCACTTGATCATTTATGCAATTTGGGTTTTTTTTGCCAAAGAGGGTTTTTTTTTTCTTTTTTGTGCAAAGCAGACCGACTCTTTGCGTCAGTCTTTTATAACACGTCAGCATCCTTGTTCACACAATGTTCCTTTGGAAAAGGATTTTCAAGCATGTCCACCCACCAAAATGAGTGTTGTCCTGTTTTTGGACACCAACGGATACTGTTTGAAAATGTCAAACAGTGTCATATTGAAGGCTTGAACAGGACCAGGACATTTCCATCTGTTCAGTGTGGTTCTCTAGCTTGTTAAGTACTTCATGGACTCATTGTTAGTTGTACTTCTTGTCTTTACAATTACATTTTTCCTCATTAAGTTTTTTCTGTCATAATTCAGGCATTTGAAAATGTGTACAAACATGTCAAGCCAAACCAGACTTTTGATGTTTGTTGTAAAGTCAGAGCGATGTATCGATAGTTTCACATTATCATAGATATATTAGCATGTATGTTGTCTGAAATGAATTTGTCATCACACAGTTTGTCCAGCTGTGTCTCCATCCTTTACAAAGCTGTCAGCACCGTCTGCAGCACCAGTACATGTCACAGTTGAGCAGACGGTGGTGCGGCGTTAAGTGGTGTCTAAAGAGTTACCTGCTAACTGGTTTACAAAAAATATAGTTGTAAGGCTAATAGATGATGACGCCATCATTTTCCCGTCTCAATATGCACATAAATATTGCTAATGTATTAATATCAGACTTGTTCACTCTCTAATAATCGGTATCAACATCGGCCCCAAAAATCCAGCATCAGTCAGCCTTTAGTTTGTTGTTTACTAGCCTTCCTATACAGTGTCAATCATGTTTCATTGCCAAAACAGCCTGATATTTCGTAGTTTCATTATCAGTTCATCTGCTGGTTGTTTTTCTGATAATTTCGTCTGTAAAATGTCATAGTCAGTAATTTCCTGTCACAAGTTCTCAGAGTCCAGTTTGAGTCTTAACTGTGTTGATTTGTCCGACCATTAGAGAAAAACTCAAAGTTTTCACTTATCCGAGAATGTTTGTTGTTTCAGCTGACCAATCAATCGAGCAGTCCTCAGAGCTCTTCAGATGACTCCCTGTTCAACGCAAACTCCCACTTCACACAGTAGTGACTGCACTACACAGTATCTTTAATCACATTAGTAAAATGGATTATCCCAACACTCTAACATGCACTGCACACTGTTAAGTGAAGTGATTCTTCTTCACAGAGTTGACCACAGATAATACTCAGAGAGCGAGAGAGCTCCACATGAATGACCCACGAGAAGATGCGTAACATGTGCACTACGATAATCCTGCACTGCTGTTGAATATCAGCTCACAAGGGTACATCAGTGTCACGACTGCATGTTAACATGCTGACGGTGAACTCTAGCAGCGTCCCACAGATGCTTTGATGTGTCTGGATTCACCTGTGATAAATGGCTTTTTGTGCATATATTCCATTTACATTGTCATACATTTATGTGGCACTGAGTTGCAGCAAACGTGGCTGCAGAGGCTGAAAAGAAGAAGCTTAAATTTAACAGATTTAAATTTAGGGCTTAAGGTTGAAGCTTGAATTCTTAGATTATGCAACATATCTTAGACTAATTCCTTAGCTGCAATCGTGCTAATTTTCTCGATTAATTCTTTGGCCTGTAACATTTTCTCCAAGTCCGAGATGAAGTCTTCAAATTGCTTGTTGTCTGAAACACCAATATATTTCATGTACTCTCATAGTATGCTTGAAAAAAATGCAAATACCCTTTGTATACAGTGAAAAAGAAGAATTGTCCACGTGCCAATGTGTCAGTTCTGTATGGCAGGACTCAATACTTTGAGCGAATCTCTGAGTGCTGGATGCTCCATAAACTTTGTCCTGAAACGACTGAGAGGATAAACCCCGCTCTGGGTTAAACATCAGTCCGTGTGTGTGTGTGTGTCAGAGGTCGGCTCTGACAACTGTACTGAGTGTGTCTTTGTGCCCCGATCCCACGCCGCTGGCAGCGAGTCAGAGGAGAGAAAACAAGGGCACGTCTCACTGCCTTATTTATTTATATCCCCGGGTCCTTCCCATCAGCCCCGGAGCCTTTATCAGCCTCCGTCCGCCACTAAAAACAATCATACTGCAGAGCTGTACAGTAAAGCGGCCCCTCTGTGTCTCACCTCTCTCTTGTTTGTCCTGAACTCACAGAGGCCTCCTGCTCCCAATCAGCATTTTATTAGCTTTTCCAGATGGTTCAGTAAAGACAGACAGATAGGAGACGACATATTGTGAAGGAGAGTGATTCATAAAAAACCAAGTTAGTCAAGTTATAAAACAATCTTATTGAGTCAGAGAGCTGCTGGCTGTAAAATGTTTGGTTTTATTTTGTTAGAAAGGTCTTTTTTGTGTGTAAAGCATTCATGTAAATAGTGGTTCACATCAGGAGGCAGACAATAGAAGATACATATACTGTTGTTATTGTTAATACTGAGGCTCCACAGCTGCTTTGTGAAAACCAGCACAGGGGGAATAAAACTAGATTACATCTGTGATTGATAGGATCTTTTTCGCTGCAGAGCTACAGTGCAGAGATCACAATTAAAGTTGTATTAAGCAATAAAACCCACAAAGATTATTACTGCAGAGAGAGCAGGCCTCGGAGCGTTTAGTTTCTCCTGTGTACAGTTAGACAAAATATACTCCTCTCCTCCTGGCTCCCGGCCCTTGGGACGGGTTCCCAGGCCAGCTCACTAATCTTCTCAGTCACCAGGGCACACCAGCACAAGTATTTTAAGGACTCGATCCATTTGGATATCATGGAGCGAGCAAAGCGCGATCCTCGCAGTTGTGCTGGCCTAAGCAGATTATCTCTGCAGCCTTAAACACAGAGAGTGAGCGAGTGCTGGTGCCTGTGTGGACTGAAAAAAAGCGTTCAGCTGGAGTCAGGGCAGCGTGGTTTGACTGCAGGTTAATGGTGACAAGAAGCAGTGAAACGATGAATGTTTTTATCAATGATTTTCTGCCAGTACTCCGTAAATATACTGGTACAGTGTTTGGTCTGCAAAATATCAGACAATAGTGAAAAATGCCCCCATAGACCCACGTGACATGTTCAAATGTCTGAACAACAGCCCAAAAAAAGGAAAGCAGCACGAAGTCCTCATATTTGAGAGGATGGGGAACAAATTTAAACCCATGATGCTCTACGTAGCTGTGTTTGTAGCAGTGCTGAATGCTAACATGCTGGTGTTTACTAGATCTAATGTTTGTGGCGGTGAAGCATCTTCATTTAGCATGATAGCAATCCTGTATGATTAATAGGACTGCAACTAATCTGTTGAACAGTTTCTTAGTTAATCAATGAGGTGTTTGGTCCATAAAATGTCATAAAATGGTTTGTCACATCCTCAAAAGTCTTGTTTTGGTGCACAAATCAGAGATATTCAGTTTGCTGTCATAGAGGGTTTTTTTTTTAAACCCAGCTAGGATCAAAGATTTTGGATTTTTGCCAGTAGAGAATTTCATGATCATTTATTGTTAACAAACCCGTGATCAAAACATATACCTCATAACTTTCTATCTTTTCCTTCCTTCTTGACTCGAACTGTTCACTTGAGCAGCTAGGACTCATTTTTATTCTTCTAGGTGATGGTTCCCTGTGCAGTGAAAGCCTGTCTTTGAATCTTATCCCCTACAGTAATTTCTTCAGCTTTTTTACCTTGAAACTGAAATGTGGGATTTTATGACTCGCCCCGGGACACACATCCTCATCAATAATGCATCGAGTCTCATCACTTCACAGCTTTTTGAGGTTTAAGGAGTTACACAGATGCATGTTGGCTAGAGGACTCTTGTCAGCCCACAGAGCAGACTGTAATCCCATCAGCAATTATACACCTGTGGCTCAGATTGTGACAACAGTTTCAAGGAAGCAGCTGTTACACAATCACTGAGACCTTATCTGCTCTTCATGCTCAGGTGTTCGCCTCCCGACCCACCGCCCACCACGGCCCTCACCTGTGTGTTGCGGTGCTTCCCCTGTGAGCCGACCTGGGCTGGCAGTCCCTTCTTGCACCGCCCGCCAACTCCGCCCATGGTCAGAATGACGCGCTCCAAGACCTTCCAGGCATACCTGCCGAGCTGCCACCGAACCTACAGCTGCATCCACTGCCGAGCTCACCTGGCCAACCACGACGAGCTCATCTCCAAGGTAACCGGCGGCTACATTAGCACTCGAGCGACTTGACTCATCTTACCGACAGCGGTTGCCCCTGGAAACCATGAGGACAGTGCTTCCATTCAGGCAGCTAATTATTACAGACTGATAAAGGGGGAGGCTAACGGGTTTTGCGTCACTTTTTGTGTTATCACAGGTAATATTTTACTTAGTTTTAGTTTTTTTAGTTTTTTTTTTTAGTTTTTAGTTTCTCATTTAGTTTATAAAACAGTTAGGAATAGAGTAATTTACAAGATTAACACCAATTAAAAAGAACAAGCACTGAAGATTGGAAAACAAGAGGTAGAATGGATGAGGCATTTCAAACGTGAACAGCAGGCTGAACACCTGTATACGTGTATCAGGCACCGCCATGCTATTGCCTGTGGATGGATTATGTTATAAGCTGGTTAGTGAATTGGATTATGAATCACTTTTTCCACGTGCGATTATGAAAACACTCTCACCTGTGTACAAAGGCGTTACGCTGTTTGTAACACAGCACACTGAATAAATCTGTTTAATATGACTCTTAAGCAGAAGCTGCAAATAAAGGCCCGCAAGACAATAATTAGATTGCTAGTGGTGAAAGTACTTGTGCATTAGTCAACCATGATATTATCAGCAGCATAAAGTAGATATTTGTCAGCAGGTTTTAAAATAACGGCGTCTATTACAGTAAAAGCCTGTCACAACCTAACATGTAGCTGTTTTTAAAATGAAATCAAAGCCAGGGCTTGTCTTTAAATAAAGCAACATGGCAGTATAACAGCATGCTTATATAATTTTATAGCATCATAACACCGTATGAATGGGTGCTTTCCCGTTCCAGCTTTCTTATTTTTGTCTCATCTTGTCTCGGCAGTCGTTCCAGGGCAGCCAGGGCAGAGCCTACCTGTTCAACTCAGTGTAAGTATCACTATTAAAAAAAAAGCCCAAACTCTCTTGTTGCATTTCAACCCACATGTCCTGCATGCTGAAATAAGACAGGAGACAAGCGATCTCAGGTTCATAATACATGCAGTTCCTCACAGTACATGTGTTGTTTTTGAAGCCTTGGTGTAGACAGAACCAGCCTGTGATTCTGTCATTACCAGCTGAATTGAGTGTGAAAATTAGATTGTTTGAATATTTGCTGTGCCGCCTGGTGCCCTATGAGCGTTTCACATGTGAGTGGGCGTGAGGCAGAGCAGTACAGTAGAACTTTCACATTGCCAAATTTTTTATGAAACTTTTCTCTCCCTGTCTCCACTCATGCCTCCTTCCTCTTTTTTTCCTCTCAGGGTGAACGTTGGGTGTGGCCCTGCAGAGGAAAGAGTTCTGCTGACAGGCCTGCATGCTGTGGCAGACATCTACTGTGAGAACTGCAAGACGACCTTGGGCTGGAAATATGTAAGTGTCCTTGGCAGGTTTGATGCACAGTATCACAAACTGCATCCAAGTTTAGAACGCGATAAACCAGGGGCTTGTTATTAAAGGATACCTTAATTTCATTTATACCCTAATTTATGTTTAGACTCTTCTCACAGCTACTGCAGCTGTAGGGTAAGTAATTAATAGATAAACTTGTCAGAACTAGACGAAGAAGTCTTAATTTTGTCTTATGTGACATGAGACCATCTGGTTCAGCAGTAGGGTTTCCATTGCTTTTGTCACTCAGACCTAAATAGCCACATATATATTGTATTCTTGAGGTTTTAGCAGTAGTTGTTTGCTTATGCTGTAGTTAAAACAGCTGATTTTATCATGCTGCTTTCACAATGCTGATACATGCATAAACTAACAGTGTAGTTCACGTGTTTCTTAGGTAAAATAACACTGACAGCCTCACTGTTTTGTCCAACATTAGGAGCTGTGTACTGTTAAAGCCTCTGTAAAGCCCCTATATAGGATGTCAAAATACACGTGCAGCATGTATTTAGTGCAGGTGGTATTTTAGGTCCCATGTCAGGGTGAACCAAACAGGATCCACACATGTTAGCTGTCTTCATACATCAACAGAGCTGAGCATATGCAGCTGTCACTGGTGAACCCTGTCAGCATGGAAGTGAGAGTTTACACTATAGGGCACGTGACTGTACCCGAAAAGGGTTAAACTCACACACGTGCGCACAGTGTCCTTATTGTTTGGCTTCTCAGAAGGCTCCATTGACCAGAACTCCTCACAGCTACACGTCTAACCTTAAACCTCGTTCTTTAACCCCTCAGCCTAAAAATACCTGTTTTCTTTACCCCGCCTGGTCAACACCTGGTAAACCAGCTTCAAAAGTAGCCACTTTTCTCGGTAGTTTCTATTCCTGTCAGGACCCCACACAGCAGGGAAAACAGAGGTCACAGGCGTGCATGAGCGCACGGGCACGAGAAAGGGCTTAATGGAGGGCAACCGTTAATATCAGTTTGCAGCAGTGTAGATTTTCTGCAGTCGTCAAAGTTCTATTGAGAGGCTTGACCTACTGCACTTCTACACCGAGAAATCTGATAACCTGCAGCTCTGAACTGAAATAGCCAAAGACAAAACAAGGCACAGATGCTCCCCCGTGAAAGAGCATTTGTACCGGCCTACTCTGTGACACCGTTCTTACAGTGAGTGAGCAGGAACACCAAGTTGTTCATGGACTGCGACAGTAGGCACAAGTTGTAGTTTTGTGTCATTTTCCATGGCAATGATTAATAACTCCTTCTCATTTAGTGTGTAGTATTAAATGGGAAAAAGTAAATCAACAACTGGCATATCTTCAGCAATATTCACAATCCTGAGCGTAACATTTGTTTACACGTACTTTTTTCCATTCTGCTCAATTAATATACAAAAGTATTTGCTTTCTGCATGAATCTATTGTGGAAAAAGCTTTCTTTACGCGAAGAAAAACACAAAATTCAGGCACCAGGTGGCACTTCACAATACAATACAATATAATACAGTAAGGCTCTCAAGCATTCTGTTCTGTTCTCAAATATTTATTCTCTCGTAGATGGACTTCTCTCATTAATATTATCTCAACGCACACATAGATATGATTTATACTTTGGGCAGTAACCTCTTTAAACGTGCATGTGGCACCTTTTCACCCCAATTATAGATCAGTTCATTTTTATTAATTTGTGTGTCTTTGATATACTGAAGAAAAAAAGACACACCGCTGTTGGAGGCATTGTTGCGTCTATTAGTAAATGTATGACGTTTTTTTTTCAAAGTCCCCTGCTTCTGTTTTCTCTTTTTCTTTAAGGGGAGCAATTTACATGTTCTAAATGTTGCAATTTGAAATCACCTAGCTTCAGCTTTAGTTTACATCCCTTGTTACTTGATTCTCTTTGACTGTCTCAGTCGGCTGCACTAATGACTATCGCAGACGTGGGTGTAGGTTTCATTAGCATGAAACACTTCATTTCCTGCATCCTGCTGAATTTCTATGCCCCATTTTGTGCCTTTTCTGCTTCAATTTTTAATGGAAACGTTTTTATTAACATAAAGGAGAGCACAGAATGACAATTCAGAATATAACGGAGTATATTAATATATGGATCTAATTGCGTTTGTAGGTGGGAGCTCTTAATTCAAATTTTGAAGACACAGTGCTGAGGGGAAAAAAAAACCCTGTCTGAGGAGCTGTTGCTTCTATTAATAACATTATAGTTGTTGTTCAGAAACAAAAGTCTTCTCCTTCTTCCATGTGTTTGTTTGGGGAGGTAAATGCATGTTCTATATTGAGGGGGACGTGTCCTCTGTGTCTCCTGCTCAAATCTACATCTATGATTGCAGCCATGCTTTTCAAATGATTAGCAATTTGCAGCAAGAGAACAACCAATAAACTGTCATAGTATGTGAAAGAGGAACTAATAAAGTATATTAAAAAAAAACAGTAATATGTATTTTATTTAACTGAACAGCACTGTGTTGAACAAACAGGCTTCTATGTAGCTCAGATGTTGGCTCTGCTTTTTTTTCTAAATCCCATTCATTTTGGATTACACACCTCAGAGCAGAAATGCATGTTGCAGCCTGCAGAATTAGAGCTGTGTAGGCTGTTGGACGGCTCAAACCTGTGGCCTTTTGGTTTTTGGCAGATTCTTAGCGGCTAGAGACACATTCCTGCCAGGGTAAGGTATGACGATTCAGACTGGTCAGTTTTGGTTCTGCAGGCTCCTCTGCAGCGTTTAGTGACTGATGGTTATATAACCAGCTTCCATAGAGCCAGGAGCAGAGACAGGCCAGGATTGAGTCAAGGATTTTTACAGCTGAAAGGACTGTCCTATGCAGAAGCTTTTTTTGTGTATTTTTACTTGTGTATCATTTTTTTGCCCATCATTTTAATTAAATGCCGCCTCTGCCACTCCCTCCAGGAACATGCTTTTGAGAGCAGTCAGAAGTACAAAGAGGGCAAGTTCATCATCGAGCTGGCTCACATGATCAAGGACAACGGCTGGGACTGAGGGGCGAGCAGCCGGGTGACAACCACAGCGGAGGAGGGAAAAGGGAGGGACTGGGTGGAGGGATGGGAGGGCGGGAGGGGGGAGTTGTGTGTGGTGGGTGAGTGTGTGACTTTGGTTTGGCTGATTTACCATTAACCTCTGTAACTTACTGCCCATCCCTCCCTACTACACCTCTTGATGTACACACACAAAAACACACACACCCACATCAAGGTCCCAGACATCCCAGTTTGACAGAGAGACAGACCAGGCAGGCTTGTACGCAGCTAGCAGGACTAGGTGACTGGCCAGCAGCAGTAGAGGACGAAGATGTCTTGTTTTTGTGTTTGTTTTTTTGTTTTTTTAAAACCTAAAACATGATTCGATTGCTCTCAGATTGGTGGCAACACTCCTGCTGGGAGACATCCTCATCGTGTGAGGTGTTCAACCTCGTCTAATAATGTTCAAACCAGTTGGTAACGCGTTATTCGGTGGAAACTTATCCAGAAGGAGAGCGGTTGGCCCAGCCAGGCGGGGTTCATTGGCCTTGGTTGGAGAGCTGACGGGCATTCACTCTGCCCCCAGCGTGAATGAGATGACCTAAGATGATTATAGCAAATCCAGCTGATTGGGGCCATGCCAGCTGGGCTAGTGATGAGGCCTGGCGCTGAGGCTTGGCACGGAGGCCCAAGCGCATGGGCGGGGATTGCCACCCACCAGACCGCTCACTCAAAATGGTGGGGAGGGGAGGATCCTGATCCAGTTATGTAGTGGCTCTGATGGCCTCTGGCAGGGATCCGCTCCATGTCTTGCCAGTGATGCAGCTCAGGACGGGCAGGGTGGGCCCGAGAATGAAAGAGATACAGATGGACAGCCACCAGCTTGTCCTAAAACCCTCACAGGAATTTGCCCTCGCAGCAGCGAAGCAGCTCCCCTTGGGTTTTATTCATCCTTCGATACACCGAGTGGTGTAAAGCGATCTGCTGATCCTCACTGTGTTTGTCTGGTGTCGGTGGATGTGTCGCTGCGTCCACCTTTGTTACTTGGCCGGATAGAATTACAAAATATAAGCATGTCTCAGGTCATCGTCTTTGGCTGGGATTCCCAAAGGTTGGCGAGCACTGTGAGCATCTTTCTGCTGTTGTAGGGCGACGAGCAAAGGTGACGAGGCTCTGCAGGCTTTGTTAGGAGGGCAGCTAGTGAAGGGTCAGACAGAAACAGCCCCTGCTATCATACTAACAGTTTGATTCGAAAGTGGCCAATGCATGACTGGTTTCATGGGCCGAGTGAAAACGCTGATAGGAAAAACACGTTCATTAAAAAGTAAGTTATTACTTAAAATGAAGTGAACAGTAACTGTACTGATACTGTAGATCTATACATACAATCTATCACTTAGGCTCTCTTTCAGTCTGGGATGACTGCTGTTTAACTGCTGTTACCCTGATCTTTACTAACTGGCCCTTACAAAACCTACTGGGCAACATTATGAAGCAATGTACTAGATTGCTAGGCTCATTTTTTTCTTTTGTTCCTTAATGCGCCAACAAATGATCTACTTAGGTTTTTCCCAGCTTACTAAATAGTCCTCATGGGCACCTTGTTAGCATTTGAGGTAACATTACTGGGAAGCATTGCTCAGGTACACTGATGCTAACTTTTCTTTGCTAAGGCCAGGATCCAACTCAACCTGCAGGATGTGTTGTTCTCTGATGGAAATGTATCGTTTTCAAATGAGAGAATCTGTTACAGCTGAATCCATCCCATGCAAATGCAACATTAATGCATGCATGATATAAAACGAGTTCTCTGACTAGTCCCATGTTAGGTCCTCATCACGTTTTTGTGAACAGAACATTGTGTGTGTATTAGAGTTGCAACGAAACCTTGTGCTGTAATACAACATCAAATCATCCAAGTCCATCGGAGCCGTTAGATCCTTTCGCAGTCGCACAGAAGCATTAAATGTGATCCTGGTTTAGAAAAGTAAAACTTAGTTGCTCCGTTTGACACACGCACATAGTTTTCTGCAAACATTGCTCTAGAAGTTGCCCTGTACACGGTGAGCCCTGTCCGGTTACAACCAAACCTGAACAGTTAACTCTCTTCAGTAACTCAGCAGCTGACTGCTCAGTCGGAGGCTGTGACGTTTAAACCCAGCACAACCAAAGAACCCACCCATCGACAATAAATTGACCAAACAAAAGATTTCATTTTGCTTGGGCAAAGTGTTGCAAAACAAGGGGGTGTGTGCATAGCTGAAAGCCAAGGTTATGGATAGCCTTTCTCTGTGATATATATAATGCATTATGATTTTGTAAACAACAGATCTTAATATATGAATATATTCTATTTACTGTATTCATCACGAGGATTACCATTCATGTCAACCTCTGTGTTACAGACTGTAAATAGTGTTAATGTATTGTGTTTTATCTATGATCCATACGATGATGAATGAATATGATTTAGGTCATGTCATGCTTTCTCTCTGGTACCCCACATTGGCTGTACGATACTACTTTTTTACTGAAAATGTTTCAATTTTAATGTCTTTTGTAAAGGAGGATGCTGATGTTGACTATATATCATTGGATCTTCATCTAATAAAATGCAACTTGATATCTGTATGGAATATAGTGTTTGTTTCTTCTCATCGAAGCCTTTAAAGCCACAATTTAGAGAAACTCCAGTGATATTGTAAGTAATTCAAAAACACTGGATTCTACCTTTTTTTTAAATAAATCATATAAGTTCTTCTGTAAAGTTGTTCCTTCCTTTTTGTGCGCCTGTCAGACTTCATGTTTCTAAGTGAGGCATCTGGTTTCAAGTTTGAAGTTTCAAGACAAATTTGACATAAACTTTGTTTCCTTTTTAAAGCAACACTATAAACTTTAGGCCAACAGTAACCACTGTGGCCACAAGTGACAGTTTTTTGAAGCTAAAAGTCTGAAGCCTGTTAACTAAAATGTAGAACAGATGCAGCGCTTACACAAAGCTTTAGCCCCTTTCAGGTTTTTTTACACTTTGCTGTGTTTCAGATTCATTTTAAGGTAGATTCACATCACTATTTTCTTATCAGTCCAGTCCTAATTCTCAACAATGACAAAGCAAAAGCAGGTTTTGGACTGTTTCATGAATTTATTTAGAAGCTGAAAGTGAAATACCACAGTTACATAAGTTTTCAGATTCGTCACTTAGCATTTGATTAAAGCACCTTTGGCAGTAGTTAACGCTCTGAGTCTTGATCCTACAAGGCTGGCGCACCTTCCTTTTTGAAGTTTCTCCCATTCTTCTCATTGGATTCATTCAAGCTCAACCACATTTGGATGGGGAGCGTCAGTGCAAAGTAATTTCTTTTAGCCACTCCTGTGGTTTCTTGGCAGTATGCTTCAAGTCATCTTGTTGAAATGTAAACCATCACCCCAGGCTAAGATATGGAGCACTCTGGAAAAAGTTTTCATTTGAGATTGCTCTATATATTTTTTGCATTCATCTTTCTTTACAACTTGTCCCCAAGTATCTGTTGCAGAACAGCATCCCTACAATATGATGTTGCCACCACAATGTTTGACTATAGGAGTGGTGCTAATGAGGTGATGCTCAGTGCCTAGTTTCTTCCTCACTCTTCTGGGAATTGTGGGCAAATAGTTAAATCTCTCAGCAAAATCCCAGTGGGCTGCAAAGTACCTTTTAGTTTAGAAGCTGTCTGGCCACTCTAGCCATAAAGACCTGACTGGTAGCAGGCTGCACTGATGGTTGTTCTTCTGTAAGGTTCTCCCTGGATCTCATTCATAGTGACCATTAGGCTCTCATGTACCAGTCTGACTAACTGATAGATTGATTGGCTCTAAACTTATTCCATTTGAGAGTAATGGAGGCTGCTGAGCTTTTGGGAAGTTCCACCTTTTCTTGCAGCCCATCCCAGCACTTTCCCAGATCTTGATAAAACCTTGTCTACCAGGTCTAATGCTCTTGACATCATGGCTTGATTTTCACTCTGACAAACACCAGTAAGTGCTCGACCTTATATTGACGGGGCTGTGTCTTTCCTAATTATGTCCAATCAGGTCAATCAGGTACAGGTGGGTTCTAATCAAGTGGCAGAAGCACCTTGAACCACTGATAGAAGTAAGATGCACCAGCTTTTGAGTGTCATAGCAAAGGGTCTAAATACTTGTGCAAATGATACATTTCAGTCCCTTACTTTTAATAAATATACAAAACACAAAGCCTGTTTTTGGTTTGTCATTGTGGAGTATTGTGTGTAGATTTATGAGGGGAAAAAAACAAAACAAGAACTGAATTCATTTTAAAATGAGTCTGAGACATAATAAAATATAATGCATATATTGTATGACTTCCAAATTAAATAACAATGTTAGACAATTATATATATTAAGTAACTTTATCAGACAATTTAAAACTTAATGGGGCATTTTTAAGAACACAGCTAAACAACATATAGATGAAATATGTTACTGCTTCATCAGCACTTTATTCAAATTGTAAAAAATATAGTTTTTGCATAAATTAAATTTGAATTAAATGCATTTAAATATACAATGTACAGAGAGTTTAACATGAAGAAAAATCTCATAAAATCTGAAGGAGTTAGATTTGTGCCTCCAAGCTTGGATAGTTAGCGTTTAGCAGGGCTGTGATTTATTGTGATTTTAGTGTTTCTTCCTCCACTTTGTTTAAAGATTTAGCAATTGTTTAAATTATGCAGTATTACAAACTACATTGTTAAGTTAATCATTGTTAAGCTGGAGTATCAAACTTGATTTGTTTTAATTCTGGGAAACAAGAAAAAAGGGGGAAAACTAGCTTTAGCAAAGGCTATCTCACAAGCTAGCCTTAGCCAGCAGGAACGCAGGTTTCCATCTGTTTTCTTGTTCATGTTCCTCCCCCAGAAATTATAGATTTATATAGTATAATAAATTTATGGTATTTATGATAATATGCCATAAAGTCAGATTTAGGTTAAGTTTGACCACATCTGTACTGCAATTACTGCATTTTGGATTCATGGGGTGGTAGCTAAAGTTAGCTATTAGCCACTATAACTGGTACACTAGAACTAGAATGGTTATAATATCAAAACTGCAGTGCACTGAAGTTAGCAAGGGTATATTTTGCTTATGAATTCAACTTCTTATCATCTTATCTTGATTTAAAAGCTCACATTCCCACTCGTTGAAAATTGTTTTTGTAGATGATGGAGTTTAGTTTCTGTACACAAATGACATGCTTTTCTGATTTAAAAAAATGTTGATAATAACACAAACATTGAGAAAAATGACTCGTCACGCTCATTACGAGGTGTATGTTTGTATGAGAGGACCAGGCATCATTAGAGGACGTGGGCACACAGCCTGCAGTGACTGAACACTGATATCTGGTGGCAACATTTTGTTGTCCCCATGGTAACAAGTGCATCATCTGTTACTATTGGGGCACAGGAGAAAAAACAACAACAACAACAGCAGCAGCAGCAGCAGCAGCAGCAGCTTGATTTCACCTCCACTGGTCACTTTAACACAGAAAATATCATAATGCTTTCTGTGAGAAATGCGTTTGAGAGTGTGTTAGTGTGCGGAGGAGGGTTAGGAGTGGGTGGTATAAGAGTCACACCTGTTAGTCATACATTAATCAAGCTCAACGTCACGCTCACTTTCCTCCCCTCCCTCCCCATTCTGTCCTCTACACCTCATTCACGCCCCTCTGCTCTCATATCTTGCTTTTTGTCTTCCATTATCACAGTATCCTGTCCTCTCCTCCTGCTGTCCTCTGTCCTCTCCCTGTCGTGTTGTTTCCATTAAGCCTCCTGGGCTGATTTCTCTGTTTGTCTCTCTCTCTCTCTCCCTCTCTGTCCGACTTGGCTAACCCACTCCAAATCTCACTGCAGCAGATGGTGCTGTGTTTGCATTGGGCCAGGTCTCCTAGCAACCCCGTCTCTCTCTCTATCTCTCTTTCCTAAACCAGAGCAGCGGAGGAGTTGGTGTCATGCACTGTCTGGGTCTGCCATGCCCACCCCTCCTCTGTGTCTCTCATTGACCTGACTGCCTCTCAGTGCTGATGTCTATGTTCACGTCTGCCTCTCTTGCATGAAAAAGTAGGCCAACGGCCGACCGCCTGGATTACTATACATGTGTAATGATTACATTTGATGTGCAAAATGAGCAAAGCAGGACACAGCAACCAATGTGACCACCCCTTCCTCACAGACAAAGTGTATTTGTAACCCTATGCGACCTATTTTTACAGATGTTCACATATGTTGTGACGGCAGGGAAAGATCCCATCTGGGTCATGTTGGGTTTAAAGACACATTTGTGGTATTTAATGCTGTGTGTGTGTCTGTGTGTTGGTATTTTCTTTACTATGTTTACCAGAAAGCTCATTACTATCATGTGAGTCAGTCTTACACCATCACACAGCGCATACACACTATCAGGTCTGCATGCAGAGACGTGCAGCACTGTAGATACAGTCGGCCAGGCTGCAACATGCAGCTCTGCCCAGCCACACAAACACACACACAATCCCACCCACCCACCCATACACACTCACACTACTCTACACTTTACAAAGAGAGCAGGGCAAATAAGGACTTGCATCCCGACGTGGCACTGGTCCTTTTGCTTTCATGCAGCCTCTGGCCTGCACACATGGACACACACACACTTAAACAGCTGTATTTTAATACATATGAAGACCTTAAATGCACTGCAATCCTACTTTACCAGTTAATCTCAGGTTGTTGTTTTCTTTTTTTTCTTTTTTTTGATAGATGTTATTTTTAGAATTATGGGAAATCAGTCAACTAGAAGAAAACTATATCAAAACATTATGTTATGCAAGTTCCATTTTCCCAAGTAAGAAACAAAGAACTCAATATAATTTGAAGTGTTTACAGTAGACAGTAGCAACAGTGGTGCAAACTGTGACCTTTTAGCACTTGACATTTTCATCTTCTTGTCCCCTCCCCCTGTTTTTACTGTAGTCCAAAAGTAAATTTAGAAATCCAAGACCAAATCCTAACAGAGTAGTTCAACATTATGAGAGGTTTTTTGTAGGAGTAAGAGCAGAAGATCAATGTTTCCTTTGTTTTTGTATGCTAAATATAAAGTTGGGAGCATAAATACTGGAAAGAAGTAGCAACAGCTTGTCTGGCTCTTACCAGTGGTAATAAAATCACTACAAGCACGACTAAAACACACTAATTGACACATTTTGTGTCATTTGTTTAATCTGTACAAAACCCAAAGTGTCATAATGACAATTTGCCATTTACCAGAGATTTATGTGTGGAACTATTTCTTTGCCTGTTTGTGTAGTTTCCTGGGGAAAACTTGCAAACTGTTATTTTTACCCTTCTGTTTGTATGGATTAAAAAGAAGATATTAAGGTGTTAATCGCTGAGCTTTAAAAGTCTGAAGCAGTGTAGGCGGTTTCCAGTCTTTGAGCTGCGCTAAGCCAACCAGCAGCTGGCTCCAGCTTCAGACAGGTGACAAATAAAAGGAAAACATGAACATTTGAACACTACAGTGAGGAGATCTGGTGGCACTGTTAAGTTTTTACTGGTGTGGTTTGGGTCCACTTGGGCTCTTAGAGGGAAGAGTCTCTGCA